CGCTTCTCCCAAAAATGTTAGAGAGACACAGACACAGAGAGTGGATATACACGCGCTCTCTCTCTCTCTCTCTCTCTCTCTCTCTGTCTGTCTAATAACTTCATTAATATCTGCATTAGTCTGTTATCAATGGCTCTAGGTTACTAGGTCTAAAATGACGTTTTGGAATTAGCAACAGATGCGGAAGAAATTAATCCTACTCACAATAGTGTTTTAAGTGCAAAAACTGGACGAATGCCTTTAAATATATCATCTGATCAATGTCTTGAGGTGTGGCAACCATAGTATAAGCGTTGAATTATTAGAAAAATAATGCACACCCGAGGTGTATGCATCACCACCTCGGATGTGCATTATTTTTCTAATAATTCAACGACCCGATGTCAATTATTCCTTAATTCATTAGTTAACAAACTGCCAATGAAAAAACTGTCTAAAGTATTTATTAGTCTTAGTTAATTTCAAATTTTAATAACGTTATAATCAAAAGTTGTAACTGCAGTGTTTCCCCTAGGTTTACGGCTTATTTACACGACATGCCGTCGTGTAAATAAGATAAATAACATAAGGCTATTTCATTTGTTTAAAAAAAGAACAAGGTATCGACCTGTTCTATCGGAAATGTAACTTTAAGTGACTTCTGTTGTGATCTGGCAGACCGCCCCCCTAATATAATGGCAGGGGAAACACTGAACTGTATTATAATAACATAAGGCTATTTCATTTGTTTAAAAAAAGAACAAGGTATAGACCTGTTCTATCGGAAATGTAACTTTAAGTGACTTCTGTTGTGATCTGGCAGACCGCCCCCCTAATATAATGGCAGGGGAAACACTGAACTGTATTATTAAATGGAACCGAGCCAACATGAATTGTTGTTGTTTTTTTTTTAAACAAAGAATAACTTCTGTAACAAAGGCTATTGCTCATTGTTAATGTTAACACATTAACTAAGGTTAACTAATGAGATCTTTTTGTAAAGTGTTACCTATTGTTCTTTATAATACTTTTGCACTTTAATCTGTTTGAAACATGTTTACTTTATACATTTTTGCGTATTGCTTCATTGTATTTAAATGTTTAGATCTTCTTGTTATAAGAAAAAACGATTAAACCTGTTATTTAATGACAACACTTTGTTGTAGGGGTGCTCCAATCAGGATTTTTGAGGCCGATCACCTATCACAGAAAGCAGTATCTGCCGATACCGATCACCGATACCGATCTTTTTAAAGCCTTCTTTTTATAATTTATAACTAATTTATAGTGATACTCCAATCAGGATTTTTAGACATTTATTCAGGGCCTGAATTAAATTTTTTTAAATTGGGGGAATTCCCCTCTTAGGTGACTCTTGGGAGAGGAGAGGCAGCACGGACTGTGCTTTCACACAGGAGTCCGCTACTGATCCGTGGCTGATTACCACAATCACAACATTTATCCATTATTTTGATTTCAAATCCAAACATCGTCACTGAAAATGCTTTTTCAGCATTGCAATTCTTTTTTTACACAGTGCAGTAATACAGTCTCGCACAGACATGTTTAAACACAATAAATATAAGAAACACATTATTCAATGCTTTTTACTTTCGCATTTACTTATATATTAAGTCGCTCAAGCAAGTGGCAAAACATTTAAACTACTTTTCTTACGTTATCACAAACTTACCATTGACCGAAATAGTCAGCTCTACTGCCTTACCTTTTGCATTGAAATCTTTTACAAGCAATCCTGCGGTTCATGAAGAACTTTGTTTTACAACCTCCACGAGTGCCATCTATTATTGCCTTGTTTATCTAAAAGTGCTCTTTCCCTTTAAACATAGCCAAAAAGTCATACGTGTTGACTGTGAAACACAGTAGACTTTAATAATATGCATTTATGGAGTAATTACTACATTTTCGTGTCAATCCATGTTCATATTTACTGCAAAAAATGCTTTGTTACTTTAATTCAGCGCAGCAAAAATAGACTCGGTGTGGAAACATTCTCTGCTTTGCTGCAGACGCACCGCTCCTGAACGCACTGCCAGACCCCAACGCACTGCCAGACCCCAACCGTGTGCAGTGAACGCTTTATTAATCTGTTAACATGAGCGCGGAAAAAATACGCACCACTGCAAATCTGCAAATGGAGTAATGTGAACCTGGCATTATGTGTGTGCGCTGCGAGTGTGCATGAGGGCACGGTCTTCAGGAGAGCACGCGAGCACTGAATGGTTAAACACTGGCAAGAATGAAAAAGTAATGCAATTTATAAACTTTAGTGACGATGTGACACTGCCTCGATTGTGCAAGTGACAATTGCTGTGTCAACTGTGCAGCTGGCTTATGGACAGATGCGATGTGTGGTGATTTGAAGACGTTTGCGTATTTTGAGAGAGAGAGAGAGCGCGCGAGTGGTGATTCACTCACGCCGTTTGTGAAATTACGTCTCACACAAGGTTTTCAAATTACTTTATAGGTTATTTAATTAAGACATATGAAGGTGAGTATCTCACCTTCAGCATTATAATCATTTCACCCGCGCTGGACAGAGACTGAGACGTGCAGCTGCATGTCGTGCCAAACCTCTGACGGCAGGTGCATCAGCTTGAGATTGTTTTTTTGAGATCAGCCTTTTTAGAGACCGCCGATCAATCATCCCAAAACGATTATCGGCCGATCACAATCGGAGCACCCCTACTTTGTTGCAACTTATTTCAATATCGTGATAATACCGAATACTGTGATAAAAGCTTAAGCAACTATCGCAACGTAAAATTAAAAAATATATTTTAATACAGAAATTAAAATAATGTTTTCAGATCCCTCAGCATAAGATTTGCAAGTTTGCTTTTTATTTTATAAAAACATTAATACTGTGAAATATTACAATTTAAAATGACTATTTTCTATTTTAATATGCAATTTATTCCTGTGATGCAAAGCTGAATTTTCATCAATGATTACTCCAGATTTCAGTGTCACATGATCTTACAGAAATCATTATAATATGCTGATTTGATGCTCAGGAAACATTCCTTTTGATTTTATCAATAATAAAAACACCCCAAACTTGTAAACTTTAATGTACAAAAATACTTTTTTTTTTTGCATTATTTTGGTGATCCCATCTCATTACAATCTCTGAGAGAAGAAACACCTCCTTACCAAAGTATTGCCTTTTCTGACATCCTCTAGTCGTTCAAGGACTTCAGTCAGACTTGGGTCATCTGAATCAACAAACCATATTGGTGGGGTTGAAGGGTAAGACTCCTACGAAAATATCAAGAGTTACAACATCATCATCTTCAGAACTGTATCAAAACCCTTTGTCCTTTCACAAGGTTACTGAGCAGATCCGTTCAGCCACTTGCATGATAAACAGCCACATTACCAGCTGCCAAACCAATGAATCAAACTCTGCAGGTTCTCTCTCCTAATGAAAACCCAGAAGAGACCATGGCAGATCAGTTTATTTCAGAGAAGTGCGTGTCTGGGCTGATGAGGTACCATGTAAAATCATGTGAACATTATGTTCCCATCCACTAGTTAGAAATCTCCTCCCATCCCCGCGTCTCCCGTCGAGGGGAGAGCCAAAATGATGGCGGTGTGATTTGCTTCTGCTTGTCAGGACCACATACTGATCTGACAGCATCAAGATCTAAGCTCAGCAAACTAACTGGCCTCAATAACAACAAAACAGCAGCCAGTTGCACTGCAGTGGCGTCGTTTTGCAGTGTGCTTTCAAAGACACTCTACGTCTCCTTGATAGTGTACTGCACTTAATATACACTTCATATATATGCACATTTTGTCCATTTAAAAAAGCTGTGAAAATGCAGCAATTGCTCAAATACGAAGTTACAAAATGTGCTAATATTGTTAATACCACCTATAACTCATTTCGATATGCAACTATAAATTACGCCAACAGTTACTCTGTAACAAATCACCATAGATTTAACTAACTAAATAAACAGTGGTGTCGTTTTAAATCTACGCATTTCTTAAGAGGCCTCGCGAAATTAAGAACTTCGGCAAACCAGCTAACGTTAATCATTGCTGAATTAGCTAGCCAACATTATACATAGCTGTTTATACCAATAAAATATTTTGATACGTTTTAAATATTCAAAAATAGCATCTCAAAGTCGGCTTTGCAAGACCAAAAAAAACATGTTTTGTCCAAAACGTCGTTTAGCTAGCTAAAGTATCCGCTTAGCCAAATTAGCACACAAGCTAATTACCTGCCAACTAACGTTAACTTAACTGCAAAATCCCACGAACGCGGAATAAAACAGCCCCTACATGCTGTATGTGTTTGATGTGACCAAGCAAACCTGAACACTATATAGCGAGTTTGTATAGCTAATAAAGTTAAAGCGAGAGCCAACGCAGTTAACTATGTTAGCTAATCAACTAGCAGGCTAAATGTAGCTCGTGCTAGCAGTGCATACTTGTTTAGCCGTGATTTTGACATCCGAGGATATAATCGATTCTGGTCGGCCTAAATGGTTTATTTGCTAGATGACGGCTTTATTCGAGTCAAAAAGGGGTTGTGGGTGGTGTTACTTCACTCGGCCTGGTCTTGTTCGCCTGTAAGATACACACGGCTGATGAATCTTACCGTGATGTTGCAGTGAATAATCAGCAGCTTTTCTCCTGTCACATTGAACTGGCAGCTCAGTTCATCGGGCTTCCAGTCGATTATTCTGAAGCGCTCATGGTTTAGGTCAAAAATTGACTCGAGGAACTTTAATTCGGCCTTCAGCCCCGACACCGACATCTTCCACTCATCTCATCAGCAGCAGCCAGGCCGCGGGGGGAAGGGACGCACGGACTACTGCGAGCGCGCAGCTGATCCAGCGAGAGTGTGTGTGTGTGTGTGTGTGTGTGCGCAGCGGAGGCTAGAGGAGAGAAACAACAAAGAGGGGGTGGAGAGAGGAGCACTGAAAGCAGGGGAGATACGACAAAACAACGCCCGCCAAAAAAAATAAGGTGCGAGGGGCCAGACAGAGAGTTGTAAGGGGTGATCAGTATCAACACGAGATGCTGTTGGTTTAGTTTCATACGCACATGCGTGCCATCTTTTTTCTGGTAGACCATCCTGAATTAATAATGATAATAATAATAATAATTCATTTGAAAACAATATTATAATGATCCTATATTACTATAGTTAATAGTAATAATAGTAATACATTAAAAATCGATATTACGAAAGACAAGTAATTTGAACCAACAGTATCCCATATAATTACTCCTTGCACTATCTACCATATAGCATAATAATGCAAAAATGAATAAATGTTCTTAGTAAGTGTCAATAATTACGGTTTATAATAACTGATAATAATAAAAATACTAATTATTACTACTACTATTATTATTATGTATTATTTTTCAGGATGGTCGACAACAAATAATTAGAGTAGGAACCAACAATATCCCATATATCTATCCCATATATCATATCAGCCCCTTGCACTATAGCAAATGAAATAATAATAATAAATAATATATATTATAAGACCTTAATACGTGTCAATAATAATTGTTAATAATAATCATGAATTAAAAATCTATATTCTAATTATTATTTTTATTATTATTATTTAGGATGGTCGACTACAAATAATTTGAGTAGGAACAGTATGGTCATCCCCTTGCACTAGCATATAGCATATAAATAATTTAACAGTTATTATTATTATTGAAGTGTTTCTCACCTGTATACAGTATAGACAGACTGGTTGGTTTTTGTAATTCTTGAAACTTGACACTGTCTCCAGATCCATGTTGCTTTTGTTTTGTGCTTTTTGGCAATATGCATCGTTTCGCATAAGAGAGTGATAAAGACCTGTGAGAGAGAAAGAAAAACAACCTATAATGATGTTGTAACTGTGTAACTGGTATTTTTGTAGGAAATCCACATTTAAATTCACTCTTGCATCCGCAAGGCGTGTCTACTGTTGCTATTTGTCTCCATCTAGCGACAAATATAGTTTCTACAGAACTGTACAGTTATGCAGTTTCTACTTAAACTTTATTACAAGCGCCTGTATAAAACTTTAATCGAGCGTTATGAACTAGTAAATGCCAAAAGAGAGCGCTGTTAGGGACTTTTATGGGGGTTTGGGGCGTTAAGTGCTATGAATTTCCTAAACTGTCATTATTAACTGCAGTCATTATTAGTATAGGTGTCAGAGAGAGGGGGAGAGAGATTGATTGATATCCTGGATGAGCTTTGGAAGCTGCACTACGGTTTTTTTTCTCATTCTTTATCTGTGTTTTAGTGGGCGGGAGCATTTTCCCTCTATATGTCAATGCCCGTTTGATATTCAAGGTGCTGCATACTGTGACAGCAAGTCATTCACAGCAACAAAGCAAGTTTGTACAGAAACGTGAGCGCGTGGCAAAACTGACCGAACATGAAATATCTTCCGCTTCTTCTTTTGCTCCTCATCCTCCAGAACCACAAGGTCCATATGGACAGGACTGAGAGGAACCAGGACTGTGCTTGGAGTTGTTCTGAGGTTTGTCAGTTACATTTTTATGTAGTCTAAAAATAAATATAGGCTAATCTGTTGTTTAGAATGTTTTTGTTTTGTATAAGATTAATTTAATAAGGTCTTTCGTTTCTCTCTCTTAAAACTTGATATTACCTTGGCATTACTTGAGTAAAACATTGCTGCAGTCATCATTTTATTATCAAAAGTTTAACAGTAATATTCTGGAATTATATCTTGCTTGCCAGGTGTGAGACATTTAACTTGTAAAAGACAAATAAATTAAATTGAATGAAATTTGCCAACTGACAAGTGCATTTATTAATATTTAACTTAATTAAGCCAGTGCTTATTTATATGAGCTATTTCTGTTATGCCAGAAAAGTAACTAGTGGCAGGTTGACGGGGTTTAAATTATGAGTCATAAAAATATGATATCATTTGTAACAATGAAACCCAGCGAGTTATACGAGATATGTTAAAAAAGCATTTGTCTCAGTCTTACAGAAGAAGACATACACAAATAACCCACTCTCACTCATCTAGGTCATCAGACAAAGTAATTTTTTTTGTATTCTGTTGATTATTGTAATTAGATATGAGGATACACTAAACTTACATCATATGCCTGCTAGCCTTGTTATATTTGCTCCAACCAGGAACTTCCTAAGGCATGAGTGGGAAACCCCTTGTTTTACTATCCTTACAGTACAGTCTCATTTCCTGTTAAATGATTAAGCAGTTCGGGACCATGCATAAATAGGAAAGTAATTTACACTATCATGATTCGGCATAGTGCTTTAAATATTATTTGTTTTGATCTCTACATACAGGGTCTACAGTGTAAACCCAGAGCTTACTGTAAGTATCTATCTATCTATCTATCTATCTATCTATCTATCTATCTATCTATCTATCTATCTATCTATCTATCTATCTATCTATCTATCTATCTATCTGTCTGTCTGTCTGTCTCTCTGTCTATATATGCCGTAATCTATGATCCTAACATATTTGATATCTTATAGCTCCACTGTCAGCATTTCACTGCAGGAATCAGGCTGTTAGCAGCGCCGTGTTCAATAATGTGATGTTGTCTACTGTGTTAGCGTGTGAGGGGAGGAAATGTTCACTCCAGCTCAAAATCGCAGCATCAGTGAATGTTACTGGTGTGTATTATTCTGGTCACATTGTATGAATTAAATGCTTTTGATGTAGCTAATATGTTTTAAATGTTATACATTGATACAATTGACTAATAACTATAATTAATGGTTCCATATTTCTGTAAAATACCTAATTTTTGGATGATATTTGTATATTTTACAAATTGTTATATGTTTGCATTGTGACAACTTACCCCACTATGTTCAATGTGTGTTCAGTGAACTGTCTTTTTTTGTCTGGTGCAGTAATCCTGAAAAACTTCAACAACCGCTGTTAGAATGTTTTGTAATCATATTGGTAGAACTACTGAGTCATTCCTACATCACTGCATCTTTTTAAAACGACAACTTTCACAACAATAAGTTATTAATTAAATACTCTAATCTGAAAGGTCTAACATTAGCTAAACACAATATGTCTTAATAATTACTACCTTGTTGATTTAACCTGAAATGTTAATTAAAGGAAAAACAGCAAAATGATGTCACCTCTTTGCACCACCCATTAAATGGATGTTTTTTGTTCTTCTAAAGTTTTGACTGTTTTTCCAGGCGATATTCGTGGAGTTTCAGTGTGTGCCGACTCTGCAGGGATGATAGGACATTGCCAGATGTATACCTTTGGTCATGTTGGCAAAGGAAAAGCCACAGGAAAACAGGTACAGTATGAACATATGATGCTTACCTGATGGTTACACTATGCAAATAGATTTCTAACAGTACCACTGAGAATTTTATCAATGACATATCATTGTACCACCAAAACTATAATCTGCTACCTTGCATAGTTGTCAGATGTTGTATTCACTGTTTCTGCTTCTAGGTTGATGTGCAGTTTAAGTGTGTTCCTGTTAGACCTGGACAGCTTGTTTTTGTGACTCTCAAAACGATTCCCAACTACTGTAAGGCTATGTGGACACAAAGACACCTTGTTCCAGGTATCAGTATTGTGTTTGTCAGCAGTCTATAAATAATGTTTATACTCACTGTAGTCACATATGACATGAATAACGTTAACATCTAATACCCCCTTTTTTTTAAATGCCAGAATGCAGTCACGAAGGTATCAGAGATGAAATTACAGAGTGCATCAGTAAGTTTCATTATCATGATGTCACTACATTTATAGATAGATAGACAGACAGACAGACAGACAGACAGACAGACAGATAGATAGATAGATAGACAGACAGACAGACAGACAGACAGACAGACAGATAGATAGATAGATAGATAGATAGATAGATAGATAGACTGAGAGAGACACTGATAGACAGACAAATAGATAGATAGATAGAGAGACTGATAGACAGACAGACAGATAGATAGAGAGAGCGAGAGAGAGAGAGAGAGACAGACAGACAGATAGATAGATAGATAGATAGACAGACAGACTGATGGACAGACAAAGAAAGATAGATAGACAGACAGACTGATGGACACAGACATAGACAGATAGACATAGACAGACAAACAGACAGACACACACACATACAGATACAGATACATATGTTAGTATGTAAATCTGTAACTGTATTGTCATTTTGTTGTAGCTGGGAAGCTGGTGTTCACTGTAGATAAAGCCAGGAATATGTTAACAGTGAAAGTAACTGATGCTCCTGAGAACACAGATTACAACCTCAGACTCTGCCATAAACGCAATGTCATCTGTGCAGGGGAAGGGGCACACAGAACAGTAAGAACGGCAAGCACATTTCCTTTGCATTTCCTAGAAGACTTTGCATCATTTCATTTTACCCTTGTGTTTTGCATGTGTTTCAGATAAAACCACAATATCTAGATAGTAGCATAACGCTTCATTATTCCAAACCATTGCCCTGTTTGTGTATTGAGGTATGAAAGCTTTATTTTACGGAAAATTAAGTTTTGAACATGAATCCGACAGTTAAAGGAACTGTTGATTTCCACTGTCTTTTATTTCAGGGTTGGCCTGCTAGAGTAGATGCACCGAGAGTTCAAGTGTGTCCATTTAAAAACAGTGAGTAAAAATTGCTGTGTTAAAAACAAAGGTCTTAGATGTTTTCAGGTTCTCGATTTTCACTGTAAAAATGCATTGTGAGGTATAAAATTTTTTAAACAAATGGCAGCTTCTAAGTTAATCTTGAGACCCACCTTAAAACCTATTTCACCAACAGCTGAACTGATTAACAAAAAAAAAATACTTTCTTGCATTGGCTTGCTTATTTGCATTTGCTTGTATTGAATCTGATTTTTTGGTACTAGTTAGCACTTGTCGGATTTGTAAAGGGCGTAACCATTTCCTGTTGCATAGCGTTCCAAATTACTAGCTTGCCAGTGGTCTCGTATGTGAAGCTAAAGCACTTAAATCAATAATTCACCATCACATAAGTCTCAATGTTGTCTCAGACCTGCAGCAGTTTTTTTTATTTTGTGGAACACAAAAGAAGATATTTTGAAGAATGTTTAAACTGCTTTGTCCTTACATTTTCATTTTTGGTCGAACTAGTTGTTATATGCTATGTTATATAAATAACTATGGATAAATCATGAATATTATAAATGGGAATTTAAAAAACATATATTATAAATGGACATTTTAAAGCTCAAATTTTACTTTAAAATACCCACACTGTCCTCTGTAACAGATTTAGAAGAACTGTGGTCTGGGATAACCTATGACCTCAATAAGGAAGAGTTGATATGGGAGCCGCTGTGTCCTGTCAAAGTGTCAGTTTCTCTGTGCCATGCCGATGGCGGGAAAAGCTGCCAAGACCTTGGAAATGTTTTTCATTCAGAGGGGCAAAAAGTATGTTCAGTTGTTCCTTTTTATTACATGTGCCGTAATAGCTGCTGATCGTTAGGAACCCTTACATATTTTTTTACTGTTTTCACCTCAGGTGATATTCTCCTCCGTGGATCCACACCCAATGCTTATTGGTGAAACAGAATTTGCAAATGCGCTCTGCATCATGGGTTTCTATTTACGACATGTTTTGCAGCAATGAGCAACATAGCCAATCACAGACATATCTGTTGACTTGAACACAGTGGCTAATCAGAGGCGTTTAAGTTAGTAAAAATCCACTCACTGCTCAAAACACCAGAATTGCTGAGTTGTGCAAGCTAGTGAATCCTCTCAAAATAACAATGTAGACGTGATGTAAATAAAAGATTGATTCTGGAAAATCTATACTTTGAAAAGAGTTAATAACATATCGTCTTCAGCTACTCACACTTTCATTATGGCCACAATATAGTGTGATTACAAAATAGCAATGTAGGATTTTGTAGCTTTTTATTAGAAAAGCTATACTACTATTTTGAAAGAGGCTAGTGTCTCACTATTGAAAATTCAGTTAAGTAAACTGTGATACAGCTACTTATTATTATTTTTTCATTATTTCAACTACACTCTTAAAAATAAAGGTGCTTCAAAAGGTTCTTCAAGCGATGCCATAGAAGAACCATTTTTGGTTCCACAAAGAAACATTCAGTCAAAGGTTCTTTAAAGAACCATCTCTTTCTTATCTTTTTATAATCTGAAGAACCTTCTTTCGCCACAAAGAACCTTTTGTGAAACAGAAAGGTTCTTCAGATGTTAAAGGTTCTTTATGGAACCATTTAGACAAAAAGGTTCTTCTATGGCATCGTGAAGCACCTTTATTTTTAAGAGTGTAAGCAAATCTTTTAAAAATACTTGCATGTAGCTATAATACAAGCTACTAAAAAAACTAGCTGACTACAATCTGGGTGCAAAATAATGCAATGAAAAATAGCAATGTAGCGTTTTGTAGTTTTTTGAAAACAGCGCTAGTGTCACACTAATGAAAAGTTAGCAGCTTTACCGGTTATACAGCTATGCATACTTTCATGCAGTTCAATTACATTTAAGCTAATGTTTTTCTAAATACTTTGTACTTAGCTAATACTTGCAGTGTAGTGTTTTGTACTGGAAAAGCTATACTATTTTGAAAACATCTAAAGTAATGTCAAGCTAATAAAAATGTAGTTGGTAATGCCACTTGTGATAGTTTTCACTTTCAATTATACTGTATTACCAGTTTACACAATACAATATTAAGCATATGAATTCTGTTATTTAATCACACAGCAAGTTGGTGTCGTGTCCCGGAGAGAAGTCAGGACATTGAGAAGATTTTATTGCCTGCTCTCATTATTCTGACAGTGATCCTGGTGGCTGTCTTGTTTGGTAGAATGACAATAAAAGGTAAACCGACAGTGGTTTGACACACCTGTTGCCGCTGGCTAGAAGGGAAAGGGAAGATTGTTGTTGGTAATAGTACACATTGTGTATGAGATTAAAGAGTCTATGACAAAAATGTTTATATAATTTTCATTTAATAACACCTTTCCACTGAAAATAAATGTAATAATTAAAAGCAAATTATAGATGGAAGTCTTATGAACAGTAGGCTCCAACACAAGTCAAATAGTAGACATACCAGTTCCAACCCTGCATCTAAGCTTTAGAAATGAATGGGGTGTGGATGTGTTGTGAAAAAAGATGAAAATCTCAGAGATACCAGTTGTTAGGCTACTGTCAGTTTTTCCTGGAAAGATCTGGTGGTTTGTTTTGATTTTGATTTGTTTCTTGTTTCATAGATGGGGACAAGAAGAAAACACCATGGACGAAACTCAGATGTCTGAGGATGGTATGTAAACCAAGAAGATATAATAGACATATAATGGCATCCTCAGCATACTAGTTTACTATTTATGATTACAATCACTGGTGCACATGATTCTTGGTGTTTCTGACATGATCAGACATGAGCCCCCAACACACACATGCACAATATTTACTGTACATGCAGTATGAATTCCTTTTACTTTAGATACAGTTTGATTACTTTTATAGCTAACAAAGGTCTCGAGTTCAATTTACAAATGAATATACTTACAATTTCAAAGTAAAATTGCAAATGCATATTAGTATATGAATATTAAAAGTCAGGTATTTTATTTTGTGATTTTGTTTAACTTGACCTATACTGCACAGTGCTATTATAATCCACCTTTTAACTATTATTAGTGGTGCTTTTTAAATATGCTGCTCATGCCTAAAATTTTGAGGCTTGTTGAGTAGAAGTGTGCTATTACCTTTCTAAACAATCAGATTTACTTTTGACCTTGAGCATTAAAAACCCCATAGTTATTGTATGAGAGACTTTGGCTAGTATGTAACCACCTAGCAACCATCCTGAACACCCTAGCAACACCCAAGCAACCACAAAGAACACCATAACAACCTGCTAAAACTAACTCAGATGTGGGTTGTTTAGTATAACCTATTATATTATCTTTTATTTTTATATTTTCGATTTAAGGGGGTCTGAATACTTTCCGTACCCACTGTATATATATATTTTACTTTTGCAACCGCATAACAACATGCTTAAAACTTAGAACACCTTAGCAACCTATTACAATGACCTGGCAACCACCCAAAACATCCAGCATCAAATCAATGAGTTTTGAATAGGCAAACATGACACACTTTCATTATAAAATATAATAGATCTAGTTATAGATATAACATGTCTAGATATGAATGAGGTTTTGTGGTTATTTTAACAAATAAATTATATCATATGTTCCTTTTAACAGAACCAGTGACACGTGCCTTCACAGCAAGAGGATAGATTGTAGGATAGTTCTCAATAAAGCATGTGTGTTTTTTGTGTGTGTGTTTTTTTTACTGTAAGGATAAGCGTTTGCATAATTTTTTGTCTTGTCTGATGCACACATGAAAGTTGTAACATCTGAGTAATGTATTTAAATACATCTAATACAAGCTTATTTTAAAATAATGCAACAACTGCTTTAAGAGTTTATAACGCGCAATGTATTAACATTAACAAAAAAATTGCGCACACAGAATTGGAAGCATATGTATATAAAACGTTGGTAATTCTGTATGTAAGTCAATATAAGACTGAACTTATGTGACACATTATATTTGTTTCCTGCTTTGCATAATCCAATTTGTTTTTGTCACCTATGAGCTACTGCTTTTGTACACCAGAGAGCAGTGTCGCTAACAAATGAATGTCAGTGTCAGCAGTGTGAATGAGTTTTTGCTTCTCATGTTGATATTTCTCTCACGTAAGGCTTGAAACTAGGTCACAAATGGGTGGTCAGCTTACAGACACTTGTGTAACCCCAGTGTGTTGGTTCACTGCCGTAGAAACTTTTGCGGCTGCACATGTTCCTGTGTCGCCTGTGCCTGTCGTCATGATATTCGATAACACGCTTTTCTCTGATTGTGAGGATGCAGAGATACGGTATGACAGAGGTGCGGCTCTGTGCCGATGGGAGGGGCCGGGCGGAATCGGCTATAGGGTTTGCTGATGAAAACATTTCTGAAGTATAGAGTAAAGCCCGAACAATAGAGCTCAATATAGTACAAATACAGTTTTGGGGAGATGCCACCATTGTCCATCTTAGTCTGTGATTCTATTGTTTGTTTATGAGTAAAAACTGGGTATTTTTTTATCATACCGAGAGTTCACAGGGTTTACTCTTAAAAATAAAGGTTCTGAAAGGGGGTTTCGCAGTGATGCCACTGAAGAACACTTTTTGGCTCCTCAAAGAACCATATGAACCGTTCTTAAACTCAATGTGTGAAGAACATTTTAATAATGCAAAACCTTTTTCCACTATGAAGAACCTAATGTTCCATAGACGTTAAAGGTTCTTCATTTTACAAAAAAGAAACTTTATTTTTAAAAAGTGTGCGGGGCATGTGGGTGCTAGCGCTAGGGAGTTTTAAAATCTGGTAAACACTGTAAAACAAACCCATGTGAAAATTGTTGGCCTCAATGACCTCATCGCTGCCTCCAGACTCCACCTGCTGTCTGCGAGTCTTCAGCTGGGAGTGAAGCATTCCCCTTTGATACTTTCCATACAGACCACCGCTAACTTTTCTGTACCTCCCAGACAGAATGTTCGACTGGTTGCGCTTTGCCTCCGAAACGTGTTTGGGATAAAGGGATAAAGCACTGAAAAAAGAAATAGAGACAAAAGCATTTGCTGAGTTGTTGTATGTTTAGCTACTTCCACTAGCTGCCAGTGACCGCATGACCTTTTTGGTTGGGGTCAATAGCCACCAGCCCTGTCCTCTAACCTTTTGTACTGATCAGTTTTATTACCACGGACTCATACCATCTGTTGGTGTTTGAACCCATAAATCCCGATGCAGAGAGTATAATAACCATTCTCATCTCAGGATATGCTTACTTCACTACTATGTAGCCTATTAAAAAAACAGTAGGCTATTTCTGATTTCCGAAATCGCATACCGAGTAGAGAGAACACTTTGCTATTCCATGAGTGATTTTTAAAAGACATGAACACATTTTCTTGTTATTTATGAAGGATTTTTTTTGTGGCCAATGGAATGTATTTGTATATGGATGAGAGATGCGCGGCTTTCCGAATCAAAATTCGAATCAAAACACGTTGCGAAGCGTTCGAAACCCTGCACGCTGAAGTTTAAAGCAGTGTAAATGCAAGTGTGTTGGTTCACTGACAAACAAAACCACAAAACTCTACTAGAATTCAATAAACTTAAAAAAAAAACTGATTTGAAATCGGTTACAGTCGTATGTAACACTGGTTCCTGGATTAATTTGAGATAAACCGCCCCATAGCGTCGAATTCCTGATGTGACGCAACGAAGCGTGGTTGACGTCACGTTTGACACGCTCCGAAGCATTGATTCATTGAGTGAATCGTGACGTAAGCAGTGTTTCGAACATGGCCATCATTATAGACAAGTAAGTTAAGTTGTACATTGAATTTAGCACTTAATAACCCGAGCACATTTACACCAGACGCGAGTGAGGCACCGCGACCAATTAAATCTAAATCGCTATTCAGGAAAGTTGCGTGCCGTGTGTGATTTTTTTCCTGTTCGTTTTATTTGCCATTCAATTGTTGTATATATTGCCACTGCCTGATGTTGACCTTTAGTCTGCTAATTTAAGTAATTGTTTATGTCTAACTTTATACACTTGTAGAATGTGAATGATAATTCACGCTTTTGGTGTATAACGTTTAGGGATATACCGGTATCAAATTTTCATGTTGCGATTAATTGCTAATGCTTTTACCACGGTATACGGTATTATCACGGTATTGAAATTTAGTTTTAAAAAAGTGCTGTCATAATACAGTATAACAGGTTTAATAACTTTTTTCTTATAACAAAAATAACTGAACATTTAAATGCAATAAAGCAATACCGAAAAATGTATAAAGCTAAAAGTTTTACACAGATTAAAGTGCAAAAGAACTATAAAGACCAATAGGTATCACTTTACAATAAGACCTCATTAGTTAACCTTAGTTAATGCATTAACATTCACAATGAGCATTATCTACATTTGCTACAGAAGTTATTAATTATTAGTTATTAAGTCTTAGTTCATGTTAGCTCATTAAATAACACAGTTGCAACTATCGATTTTAACAACGTGTTATTAAATATTGTCAATCTTCAAATTAATGTAGAAAAAAACATAGACATATATTTTTAATATTTGTTTTGGCATCTTTTGTTATGACTGAAGGCCAGTATCACTGATACCAATACTACTGATGTCTATGAAATTATTTTTTCCTAATATTTAACCATTGACTCCTGTGTGCTCCAGGACAGTTTTGAAAACCATTTCAGAGACATGTTCTTAAATGTATCGCATATAACAAATGCTTACATGCATGCATAAATTTAAGGCAGCTTTAATTGACTTTTTGGTAACTTAATGACTTTGGTAACTTAATGACTTAACTGATGACATAACTACGAATTCGCATGCTCATAGTTTCTTTCGTGCTTTGATATGAAATGATACAGGCTACAGCTCGCGCTGCCACATTTGTGCGTGCAATTGAACAAGCACGCGCTACTAGCACAGTATAACAGCTGACAGGGAAAGAAAAATCATTTTTACTGACATACGGCCTGACAACATCTCATCTGACCATGGTTCACTGTTGTTCTTCTGAAGCTCTCTTGTCACCTGTAACTTTTTCGCACTCATTTGACTAGCGCCTGGCACTGAGGTGAAGTTGGAGTGTGCATCTGAAAGTCTCCCGTTTGATGTGGTCATAAAGACGTTCTGCGTCTAAATAAATGCAATCCTTGTCAAGAAAAAAGGGAAAGAAGCAGCTGTACTTGTTGAGGCAACTGTTTTGTACTTTGCCATATAATTCACTCCATTTGGTAATTAGTTTGTTACATGTTTAATTACATTATGCAGTGGTGCCTCCAAGCTATGGAGAATATGTAATAATGCAGTTGTCAAATTGGCTATGGTGTCTTTAAAAAAAAAATCGTAACAGACACTCCAATGAAAACATTACAAAGATTTTTGTAGGACGAAAACATTGTTCCAGACAAAACAATGCTTCTCCGGCGTCTGCATATCTTGACCCAATGTTATCTGGCTGTGATTTATGGTCCCGCATATGTTAAACTCAATGTTAACCAATTCTCTTAACTGAACCCACCGTGCCACATGCATAAATATATCAGTAAACGATCAATGATGAATGACTCCAAAGCATATGGAAATTGATTTTTAGTAAATACACTTCTCCGCCCCCCACTGACCACATTCAAACTCACTTCTCAGATATTCATGAGTCTGACACCACTTCATTGTCTGGCCATTCTGAGACTCTGTCTCAATTCTGGACAAAGAGGACAATGGGATAGACACCTGTTACCGGTCTGTGAGCATAACAGAGACCTTAACCTGCTGCAATGTTCTGTCCACTCTGGGTAGAAAAGTGTTGCCGAATTCAAAGTAAAGAATAAACCGGAGGCAAAACGTACTGGTGAGATTCAAGTTTTAGTATATAGACTAATGATTGAAGTTATATTGCTGTTGTTCTAATGGCTTCGCTGTCGCTGTAGTGATTGATTTTGTGCCATATAAATGTCACTGTTTTGACTGAATTCATACAACAGTTCTCAAATCTTTCACGTCGAACAGTGTTTCAAATTCGATTATTGCTGTCAATCGATTAAAAATAACTTATCGCACATTTTTTTCTGAAAATAATCTTGATTAATCACACCTAACATTAAAGCTTTTAAATATACTTTTGCAATAATTTCACATTCAATCTTCAAATTAATGTAGAAAAAAACATAGACATATATTTTTAATATTTGTTTTGGCATCTTTTGTTATGACTGAAGGCCAGTATCACTGATACCAATACTACTGATGTCTATGAAATTATTTTTTCCTAATATTTAACCATTGACTCCTGTGTGCTCCAGGACAGTTTTGAAAACCATTTCAGAGACATGTTCTTAAATGTATCGCATATAACAAATGCTTACATGCATGCATAAATTTAAGGCAGCTTTAATTGACTTTTTGGTAACTTAATGACTTTGGTAACTTAATGACTTAACTGATGACATAACTACGAATTCGCATGCTCATAGTTTCTTTCGTGCTTTGATATGAAATGATACAGGCTACAGCTCGCGCTGCCACATTTGTGCGTGCAATTGAACAAGCACGCGCTACTAGCACAGTATAACAGCTGACAGGGAAAGAAAAATCATTTTTACTGACATACGGCCTGACAACATCTCATCTGACCATGGTTCACTGTTGTTCTTCTGAAGCTCTCTGGTCACCTGTAACTTTTTTGCACTCATTTGACTAGCGCCTGGCACTGAGGTGAAGTTGGAGTGTGCATCTGAAAGTCTCCCATTTGATGTGGTCATAAAGACATTCTGCGTCTAAATAAATGCAATCCTTGTCAAGAAAAAAGGGAAAGAAGCAGCTGTACTTGTTGAGGCAACTGTTTTGTACTTTG